AGAGGAAAGAGACAAAGGATGAAATCCTAGGGACACCATCATTGAAAGGGGGGTGTTCAGAGGAACAGAAATGAAAGACACTAGGACAAATGTCCACAGAATCAGAAGGAAAACAAGAATGTCACAGAAACCAAGGGAAGAGAATCTTACAAGAAGGGGGGAGTTATGAAAGTTATAGAACATTTAAGAAATAATAAAGCCTGGAGCGTGCCCATTAAATTGGGCAACAAGGAAGGCACTAGGAACTTTGGTGGGAGTTTCAGTGGAGTGATAAGGGTAGAAGGTACATTTCAGTGGAATGAAGATGAATGAAAGGTAAGGAAGTATGGATATCAGGAGCAGACAACTCAAGAAGCTTGACTGTGAAGGAGAGGTGGGGAGATGGACAGATGGCTGGAGGGGGCCTTGGGCTGGGGGAGAGTTTCATATAGGAGAGATGTGAAGCATGTTTAAATGTTTATGGGAAGGAGTCAGGAAAGAAAAGGAGAGGGGTGAGCAGAAGAAGCATAATCTCTGAGGAGGCAGGAAGAAGGAATCCCAAGCATAGTGGAGTGGTCAGCCACCGTGTTGGGAGGGAAGGAAGAAAGTTGGTTTTGGATGCTGGCCAGTGTATTGGTGTGGCAACAAGGAGTAGAGAGTTTTCACCTTGGTGGTTCTATTTTTTCTCTAAAGTTGGCAGGGAGATGATCTCCAGAGAACAAGGGGGATCATAGGACAACAAGTTAGGAAAGAATGGTCATCATGGAAATGGAAGAGAAAGCTAATTAAGAACACAGGATTGCTGCAGTGGGTTGAGGGCTGAAGTGTGAGGTTGGAGACCAGCACACTAATAGCTCCAGTCCAAGGGGTTGGTAACTTTACCAGTGCTCAGCAGACCAGATGTCAGAGCCAGGAAGGAGAATGGTTTTACTGACCTCAACAGGTGTCATTTAAGAACAGTGGGCAGGAGAGTTGATATTGGGAAGAGTGAAAAAAGATGGTTCACGGGGATTCCATATTGGATAGAAAAAGAAATGGTGACTGAGGGGAAGCGTGAGGACAGAAGAGAGAATGCTAGGGTTTGATGGAGTTAACAGCTGAAGCAGAATTGAGAGTGGGAGAGGCAGAAAGCCATGATGTGATTCACTGGGGTGGGTGTCTGAACTTATGATTTCAGAGGTGGAGCACTACTTAGCCATGATACTCCAAGGGTATCTGAATTATAGTGGGAATGAAGCCACTGAGGAGGTGGTGACAGTGAGCTTCTAGGATTTGGGATGGCTCATTAACATTGGGCGTGGGAAGACTTGAGGTAGGAAAAACTGAGTCAGGGCTAGAGTCTGCAATGAAAGAGAAGGAGGGGATCTGAGGTCAAGAAAACTCAGGGTGAGGTTGGGGTAAACATTGATGAGCGCTTGATAAACATTTGATGAATACATGAATGCAGGAATCAGTGAATAAATGAATGCATCAACTCAGACCAATCTGGCACATTCTGGGAATATCGAGCCATAAATACCAAGATCCCAGAGGAAACACTAGGATTACAGAGGCCAGGTTAGGAGGAGTATACGGGTCTCAGGTTATCATAAGAGTTGAAGGTAAGCAATTCATTTCAGCCTATCCTATCTGAGAGGCTGTTTGAGCCCTCTAGACCTGCACAGGTCCAATCCGATAGCTACTAGCCCCTGTAGCTATTGAGCACTTGAATTGTGGCTAATCTAAATTGAGATGTGCTGTCCACGTAAAACACACACTGGATTTCAAAGATTTAGTACACACACACACAAAAAGGAACACAAAATATCTCATTTTAAAGTACTGATGAGTTGAAATGCCAATTTTTTGGACAGATGTGTTTAAATAAAACATATTATTGGGCGCCTGGGTGGCTCAGTTGGTTAAGCGACTGCCTTCGGCTCAGGTCATGATCCTGGAGTCCCTGGATCGAGTCCCGCATTGGGCTCCCTGCTCAGCAGGGTGCCTGCTTCTCCCTCTGACCCTCCCCCCTCTCATGTGCTCTCTCTCTCTCATTCTCTCTGTCTCAAATAAATAAATAAAATCTTTAAAAAACAAAACAAAACAAAACATATTATTAAAATGAATTTCACCTGCTTTTTTTTTTCCTTTTTATATGACGCTACTAAAAATTTTTAAATTACATATGCTGTTCACATTGCATTTCTCCTAAGCAGCTTTGCTCTAGGTCTTGGTCAGCAGCTTCTGCAATCCTGAAAGGAAGGATTATACCAGCCTGTATGATGCACATGTTCTACCAGCAAATTAATAAAGGCAACCATCTTGAACTTCCATACATCCCTGGTGGCAGAAGTAGATTTTAAACCCGCAACGGCTTACATTTCTTGTGTACAGGAAAGTCCCCTGTAAAAGAACACTTTGTATCCCTCAAAGTATTGCAAAACCTTCCACTGGCCCCACTAGACAGGGTCTGCATCCTTGCAACCACTCAGTGGTTTATCATCACCTCCACTGTCATCACAGTTGGGATAAATTGAGGGTCTCATCCAGTCCCTCTTCTTGGAATATTTCTGACACAGTGAGGCTGCAGATGGTGCAGACTGTACTTACACTTTTCCTTTGACTGGGGAAGCCCGAGGCTGCTCTTCTCCAGGACAAGTCTCCTTGGAATCTGCAGGGAGGGCTAGTTTAGCATTACAGTTTGGAAGGCTCTATTTCTGCCAGGGATTGTAGAAGATGACCCTACATTAGCAGTAGCCAGAGCTGGTTTAGGCTTAAATTAAAAAAAAAATAAATGGTAAACACTAAGAGTTTACCCTAGGTTGGAGGAAACTGAGGCTCTAAGAGGTTCAGTGACCTGAGAGGTTCCACAGGTGTAAAGTTGGTTGAGCCAGATCTGAACTCAGGTGGTCTAACTCCAAACCTTGTGATGCTCACATCCCCCTACGCTTTTCAACATAGCTGATTATGGATTGGGAAACAGAAAGAGGGCAGTCTCACTTACTTGGCCTTGGGGAAAAGCCTCTGAAGGAGGCTGGCATCGGTTGGCCTGACACATTTTGCTCACACATGCATTGAACAGTACAGTTGAAGGCAGGTCCTTTAGCAGAGGTTCCCAAACTGTCCACCAGAATAACTTGGTCTGTGTTAAGGGCCCCGTTCCAGACCTGTTAAATCAGAACCCTGGGAGTAGGGCCTAGCAATTTGTATTTTTAAAATATTTCCAAGTGGATAAGGGAACCCTCGTTTCCCAAAATGATAAACATAGGCTCTAGGTAAGTACCTTGATTTAGGATCTGATTTAGAACTTGGACTTCTGGGTAACCATTGGGACAAAATGGAAGGAAGTTACAAGGAAGGTTTATTTCAGGCACCTAAAAGGAGCGGGCCTGGCTTTGGGGGCTCCTTAGGCAGAGCTGACGTTTGTGTGCTAGTTTCTAAGAGGCTTCCCAATCTTCAGATTGCCCTTGGGGCCGCTGCTTCATCTCAGGCAACGGGTGAGTGCTGTTGGTGGAAGCCAGACTGACTTTCTCCTTCTTCTTCCTTTTAGCCTTTCAGTGTTATGATGTACCCAGCTGGTCCTGGATCTGGTGACTCCCCAGAGGGCTTCCCCGAGCAACCGAGGCTCCAGCCACAAATCGGGAATCACACAGCTCAGACACTAGGTACTGAACTTGGGAGTATGACACAGTCCTTGCTTCCCAACGTGGCTGGGGTAGACTGAGGGTGAGGGATGCGGAAGAGAGACTCAAAGAGGTCTTCGGGTAGCACAGAATTGACAGAAACCCCGGCCTTCATTTAGTGATCCCTGCTTTGTTCGGTCAACAAAGATTTGGTCCCTTCTCTGTGCCTGGCACTGTTGTAAGCCCTGGAGAGACACCCCAATGAAAACCAACCGACCAGACTCGGTCCCTGCCTTGTGGAGCTTTTCCCCCTGCCTTCGACTCCCTTCCCAATGGGACACCCCCTTTTTTCCAGATTGGGTAAAAAGAGGGCTCATTGGGAATAGGATGGGAAAGGAGACAAAGGTGTGGACTTAATTTGTGACCTAGAATCTGAGCTGGGGAAGACTGAGCAGAGTCAGGAAAAGAAAACAAATGGGGAAGAACGCGCTCTCTTCTCTGGGATGAGAAGAGAGAGATTATAGAAGCCGGGGCTGGTGAGGCTTTAGAGAAAGTCCAGCCCCTCATTTTACAGGTGAGGAAACTGCGGGACGGAGAGGTTATAGTGTACCCCAAGGGGACCCCTAGTTAGGTGGCAAAAGTGGGAATGAAACTGCGGCCCTGGAACGATACTATGCAGCCTCCAGCGAGGCGCTTAATTTTCAAACTGGGCCGCTGGATGCTTCGGGGAGCTAGGCGGGCCGTTACCACGGGAACAGGCTCCCCGCCCCCGCGGGCCCCCGCGTGGCACTGCGCTCCCAATAAAGTTGTTGTTGAAGCGCAGCGGTACCACGTGAGCCGGCCCGGGGGCGGGGCCGGGGGCGGGGCCGAGCCGAGAGAGACCCCGCGGGCGGCGGTGAGGAGGGGAGGCGGGCGCGGGCACGAGCGCGGCGGCCGGCCATGATCGCGTCGTGCCTGTGTTACCTGCTGCTGCCCGCCGCGCGCCTCTTCCGTGCGCTCTCAGGTACCGGCCCCGCGTCCTGGCAGGCGGGTGCCAGGCCCGGGCCCACGTCGGCGGGGCCCCGCGGGGCCTGGGGCGGCGTGCGGCGCGTCGGGCCTCACGACCACTTCTCCCCGACCAAGGTGTGGGGAGGCGGCCCTCGGCCCCCGGTGTCCGTCCTGGGCCCCACGAGGCCCGGGCCCGGCCGGCGCCCCTCCTCTCCCCGCGCCTGTGGCCTGGTGGCGTCCGGCCACAGTTAACGTGGGAGGGGGCCGGCGAAGGGGCGGGAGCCGTCCTTCCCGGGCCCCGGGGGTGCACAGCTTTCAGGGGTCCGCAGAGTCACTGCCCGGAGGGGTCGGCGAGGGTTGGCAACTCGGGTCGAGGCGAGCGCCCCGAATTGTCGGGGGCGGGGGGTCTGTGGGCCGAAGACCCGCACGTACCTGCCTTCCCCCGGGTTACTCCACACTCGCCTTTCACGGCCGCCTCTCCCGTTTCCAGCCGAGGCTTTGGTTGAAAAACTGGTGCTCACAACCCGGAGAGCCCATAAACCCCAGCTCTGAAGCAGTCTCCCGTGCGTTTAGGGATGCGGCGGGGAGGGGCCGATGCCCAGCTGGTCCTTCAGAGCGAGAAGAGAGTTATTCTTTCACTTTTTCATCATCTGCCTGCGCTGCCATTCCTGGTCTTTGAAATTCCCGAGGCTCTTAGGAGAATCACTTCCCACAGAACGCCCAGAATGTTCTCTGGCAATTTAGAGGGCGGGATAGACCAGGAGCTGCTTTCTTGTAGAAATAAGCGCTCAACAGCATTCTGTGCTTTTCCTTTCTGGAACTTTACACAGTGTGTGTGAGTGTGTAAATTCATTTATTTATTTCTGTGTGTCTGCCGCTGGAATGCAAGCTCCAGGAGGGCAGGGCCATGACTGTTTTGCTCCCTGTATCTCCAGTGCTAGCACACTGCCCAGAATGTAGTAGACACTCAATTCCGGATGAGAAACTCCACGGAAGTCATTGTTTTCAGAGAATTAAAGCATATTCCTTTATCCATGTTGCTGTCATTTCTGGAGCTCTCCCGATGTCCAACATGGTAGCCTTGGTGACGTATACTAGTCTACAGGTTTCTAGGCCGGTAGTCAGAATTTAGAGATCTCAGAGGAGGGACCACCTCCCTCTCTCCCCCATTAAAGTAGTGCCACTTTTTTTAAACTTTGTGTATTTGGTTTTTACAGAAGGTTTTCTTTCTTTTCCTTCCTTCCTTCCTTCCTTCCTTCCTTCCTTCCTTCCTTCCTTCCTCCTTCCTTCCTCCCTCCCTTCCTTCCTTCCTCCCTCCCTCCCTCCCTGCCTCCTTCCTTCTTTCCCTCCTTCCTTCCTATAAAACAATTCTGTTGAAAAACCAACCACCACCACCACCACCACCACAAATCTGCGAAATTGGAAAACAAGTGCCCTCACACACATAAACCAGAGAACCTCTGCCATCTGGTATGCAGAGGATGTTTCAAGGGACAGGGAATTAGCAAATCTGAGATTAAAGCCAGCAATGAAGTTCATGGATTTAAAGCAGGGTTTCGCAATCTCAGCACTATTGACATTTGGGTCTGGATGATTTGTTGTGGGGCTGTCCTTTGCACTGCAGGATGTCCAGTAGTATCCTTCTCCACTAACCTCTAGATGCCAGTAGCATCCCCACAGTTTTGACATCCACTGTGTTTCCAGATAATACCACATGTCCCCTGAGGGCAAAATTACCCCTGGTTGAAAACCACTGGGTTAGAGGGACATAAATCCACATAGACTATAAATAAGATAGTATCTTTCAACATTTGAACCATTTTGAAGCTTTTCTTGCCTTTTAAAAAATAGAGCTGATAAAATGAATCTCTGGTGATTGAGGGTGAGCGTGTCCCTGTCTTGTGCTGTAAATAAGTGAGTTAGTGAGTGTGGGTGTTTGCACCAAAATACTGTGCTTGGAGTTTGGGGGCTCTAATATTAGAGTTTTCCCACTTGCTTTCTTGCCTGTTGGCTGTCATTTGTGGCCGCTGTGGCAGAGAGATGACAGCTGTCTCTTGCTGTCACTTGTTGGCACCTTCCGATTTACAGCTTCTGGCATGTTATGGAATGGGAAGGCTGATAATGAAGTTTGTGAAGATTTATGAATAGAATATATAGCTTCGAGAAAAAGAGCAAGGGCCTTTGCCAAGAAGTAAATTGTATAGATTTTGAGACTCCCTTTTTGTCTACCTCAGGAGTTTTTCTTTTGGAATGTATTTATAGATTAGGGGATTTATAGAACTAGAAAGGCTCTTGGAGATTATGTAGTTCAAACTTCCCCTGTCCCCCTTTACAGTCAAGAGTGAGCCCCTCTTACTAGGGGCATTGTCCAAGATCACATGTTTTGTTAGTTTCAATGCTAGATTATAACCCACAGTTCTGATTCATGGTCAAGTTCTGGTTCCAAGGTAATGTGGCCCTTAGAACCAGAGAGTTGGTGCTTAATAGGAGTTGTAACCTCGAGATAAAAGGGGGGTGGTGGTTATATGTTACCATCTCTGTCCTAGATTATGTGGGACGGCCATTCTTTTTTTGTTTTTTTTTTAAGATTTTATTTATTTATTTGACAGACAGAGATACAGCGAGAGAGGGAACACAAGCAGGGGGAGTGGGAGAGGGAGAAGTAGGCCTCCCGCCAAGCAGGGAGCCCGATGCGGGGCTCGATCCCAGGACTCTGGGATCACGACCCGAGCCGAAGGCAGACGCTTAACGACTGAGCCACCCAGGTGCCCCGGGACGGCCATTCTTTCATTCAAGCACTGAATATATATCAGATCCCTACCATACAAATTAGTTAGTACTTGTCAAGCACTTAGAATAGTACCTGGCACATAGTAAGCACTTTATGCTAATGATGATGGCATTCCAGGCACTAAAATGGGCAGGCTCAGTGATGGATGGTACCACGATGATCAAGGTGCATGTGATTCTTGCTTGTATGGGACTTTTGTTCTAATTGGGAGAAGAGTACGGATTGGGGGACATTGTCATCTTATAACATGATATTTTGGCTTGCTTCTTAGATGCTTTCTTCACATGTCGAAAAAATGCCCTCCTGGCGAAGAGCTCGTCCACCCAGGTAGAGGGCAACTTTGCCATGGCCCCTCGGGGGCCCGACCAGGAGGAGTGTGAGGGCCTGCTACAGCAGTGGCGAGAAGAAGGGTCGAGCCAGGTGCTCTCAACTTCGAGTGAGGGTCCCCTTGTAGATAAGGGACTAGCCCAGAGCAGCCTGGCGCTCCTGATGGATAATCCCGGAGAACAGGATGCTGCTTCAGAGGACAAGTGGTCCAGCAGGCAGCTGAGTGACCTGCGGGCAGCAGAGAACCTGGAGGAGCCTTTCCCCGAGGTGCTAGGAGAGGAGCCACTGCCAGAGGTCGAGGTCCCAATGTGGGCAGCTGTCCCCATGCAGACCGGCCCCCAGTATGCAGACTGTGCTGTCCTCCCAGTGGGTGCCCTGGCTGCAGAGCAGTGGGAAGAGGACCCCGCAGTGGTGGCCTGGAGCATAGCACCCGAGCCTATGCCCCAGGAAGAGGCTCCCATCTGGCCTTTTGATGGCCTGGGGCAGTTGCAGCCTCCCCCAATGGAAATCCCATATCATGGTGAGTCTGACAACTGGCTGAGGGAGCCTGGGCAGCAGCTTGTCTCCAGTGTGAGCAGAGCCATTGCTAGAGAGAAGATTCTCTGGCAGCGAGCTCTGTTGCTGCCTTCTGTTTTTCTGAGAATCTTACAATATCAGATCTAGAGGGGCCTTAGAGATTGTCTCATCCAGCCCCATGTCTTTCAAATGAAATAGCCGCGGTGCAGAGCGGTGGCAGGACATGCCTGAAGTCACATAGCCAGGTAGAGGCAGAACTGAAAGCACACCCTCGTTCTGATTCTCCACGATATTGTTTCTAGGAGTAGTGGTGGAGAGATCTCAGGGCCTCCACTCTCTGCCTCAACCAGAATTTTATCTTCTGGTTTTATCTGTGTTATATATTTGGCTTCCATTAAAATTTGAAGAATGAGTTCTGTGGCTCAAATAGCTTTGAAATCCACTTTGCAGCTCCATGCTCTAGGGGAGGTGGGGACATGTGATTTATAGCCCCACAGGCTTTTTTGAGTTTAAAGGTTAGGAAACACCCAAGGCTGAGATTACTCTAGAAATGTCTTTAACCTCAGGTGACTATGAAGCACATTGATCTGTGATTCTCTAGAGATCTATAGATTTATCAAAAGCGAGAAATTGTCAGCCTAGGTTTATTGAACATGTACCAGGTACTATGCTAGGTGCAGTGGCGAACAGGCCAAGGTTGTCTCTGGCTTTGTGGAGCTTACTATCTAGTCTGCAAATGTCCTAAGAGTGCTGCTCAAATAGCCATAGAGATGCTATGGCATTCCCTGGGTGGCAGGGAAGATGAAAAAAGGAACTTCAGGCATAGTATCTCTGAGTCAGGAGTGGAGATGGCAGGCCCTGAGGATAACAGGTACTTGTTGTGGACCTCTTCTTTCCACCCCTTTGCAGAAATCTTGTGGCGAGAATGGGAGGATTTCTCCGCTCAGCCAGATGCTCAGGGCCTGGAGGCGGGGGATGGCCCTCAGTTCCAGTTCACTCTGATGTCCTATAACATCCTGGCCCAGGACCTGATGCAGCAGAGCTCAGAGCTCTACCTGCATTGCCATCCAGATATCCTCAATTGGAACTATCGCTTTGCGAATCTCCTGCAGGAATTCCAGCACTGGGACCCCGATGTGAGTGAAGAGGGGAGGAAGTGCCATCTTGTATTTGCTTTGAACGTGGGCTATTTCCCAGTGCTCTTAGAAAATGAGTTCAACCCCATAGTTGTTTATAGGATTGGAGTTCTGCCTAGGGCTAGAGCTTTCCTGCCTGGAGTAAATGAGTTTTTGGCAGGTGCTGAGAAGACTCCGTGGGTGCACACTTTCCAGCACCTTTATGCAGGGAGGGAGACTTGAGGGATTCAAGAAGTGGGAAAATCCAGCGCATGCATCTGGTCTGCTCAGCTTAACTCTAGGCCTGTCCTTGCTGCTGGTGGCTGTGTGGGAAGAGTCAGCCCTGTGGAAAGTTCCAGTGTGACCCTGCGTGAGACAGGCAGCAGCTTCCCACCTGGCCTCTGTGCCTGCTCCTAGGGTGGGAGTCACTTTCTAGCACTGTTGGTACTTTGGAGTGATTGGTTTCCTTGTCACTTTCCCAGATCCTGTGTCTCCAGGAAGTCCAGGAAGATCATTACTGGGAGCAGCTGGAGCCTTCTCTGCGAATGATGGGTAATGCATGTTCACCGGTCTTGCTTCCTCCAGCCCTGTCTGCTCTCTCCTGAAGGCACCATCTTTTCCTTTTGCTTCAGTAAATCCTCAGTCTCACCTGTGCACTAGCCCCTCCTCCGTATGGGTGAGAAAGAAAGAGTTCTGCCGTTTTAAAGCAATTCTGACATTTACTGCCATTTAGTCCTTGAAGTAACCCACCCTGTGAGGCTGAGTTATTGTTATCCCCGTTTCTACAATGAGGACACTGAGGTTCTGCAAATGTGTGTGACTTGCTCAAGGTCACCCAAG